GCAGATATATACTCTACATTTTTATATAAGATTATTGTAGCCTTTAAGGAAACAAAGCAAAAAGGAACAAAAAAATATATATATAAAGCAAAAAAAAAAAAAAAACTAAAAAAAAAAAAAAAAAAAAGGATGAGGATGATCAGAAATGACAAGTAAGTTGAGGATACATTTCTCGTTGGAAGATTAACACAGGTTCCAAGCTCCTGATGGAAAGGAAGTATGTCTCATTTTGTCACCTAATTTTTATCAGGCAGTAGAACCCTTCTGAACGGAAAAAGGGATAGGGATAATTGTAATGATGAGGTGCATAGATTGATCATAATAGTAAAGTAACTGGTAATTTCAAGGACAGATTCTTGTTGCCGCTTCCACCTTCACTATAACGTTTTGTGACCTTTGGCCCCACTTGTGTTTATATATACCAAGTTGATGTACTTTTTATTACACTTCTCCACTCATGTTGGCATGCCCATCCACACATGTACACACATATCCACATGCTGCATCTGTACACATCTGCAAAACATACATGCCTATACATTCACACTCATGCACTCTCTCACTTTTTTTTTTTTTTTTTTTTTTTCTTTTTTTTTCTTTTCTTTTCTTTTTTTTCCCCCCTTTTCTCTTACTTTGCCATCTGAAAAGAGTCCTTGTGGTGTGAACTGAAACCAGTGAAAGAACATTCAAAAGGGTTCAGAGCAAGACAAGAGGTTTTGACTGCAAAGTTCACCCTCGTCCTCTTCCTCCCTCACCACTATCCACTCCCTTTAGCAAATTATATATCCCTGAATTGTCTTTTTATTTTCTCTCTCTCTTTTTTTCATTCATTTTTTCTCTCTTTTTTTTTTAAGAGTTGTTTACAAAATGTAAACCTGCGACTTATATATCCTTGGCCATCATATGGCTGATCACAACTGAAGTCAACAAACTTAATATATATATAGGCATTTTAAGGGACTCGTCGCTGGTGATTTTTTTTCTTGGGTTTGCGTTCAGACGAGTGAGTTATGATTATCTTTATTTTTTTTTATTTTTTTTTTTTAAGATTGTTAATTTTGAAAACAAAACATAAAAATACCATTTCCTTTTTTCCCTCCTCCCTGTTTTGTATATTTTCCCCTTCATTTCCTCTTATTTCTTTTGTTAATGATATAGACATTTACATTGTTTTAAATGTGCAAGCATTACTTGCATGTGATATGAAGAAAAAGTAAAATAAAATAGAAATGTACCAGTAAGACAGCATTTAAGCATCTTATTTTGTGTATGTGTGTGTTTATATAGTATATTTATATATGTACATATACATATACTTTATTTATGTAATAATGTATATGTATGTGTAAAGGGACACACTCATACTTTTCCTGAAAGTATTTTTTTTTTCTTTTCTTTTTTTTCTTTTTTTTTTTACCATGTTGGTTTGTATTATATAATGATGCCTTAGTCTTTATGTGTACATTACCGAAGAGCAAGTAAAACCATCAACCATATAAAAGACGGCTTGTTACAATCCTCAGAAGAAAAAAAGAAATGTGAAAATTAATGTAAAAATTCAGTAAAAAGTAAAGTGAAGGTTCTTGTTTTTATTATTTATATTAGGTAGTAATATACTTGTAGTGTTAGCATTGTTATGTTTCCGCAGTGAGATTAAGGACAATGTTAAGGTGACTGATGATGCAATTCAGAGAAGTCGGGGGGGGGATGTTGGCTTTTGTCTGCTTTCTAAACTGATTGTTCTCATATGCACCTTATATATTTGAGGGAATTTTTATTTCCAGGTAAGTTGTACATCTTATTATCCGTTTTGGCTTGTCTCCATCTTTGCCTCTAGCAGCCCTTCCCTCGTCATCTTCATACTCCATACTCCTCCTCCTCCTCCTCTTTTTTTTCCCTCTTCCTTCCCCCTAACTTTTTTTTAGCTTATGAAGCTTTATGTCATGTCTAGTCAGATATGTTAGTGATGATTTGAACTAAATTTGTCAAAAATGGTCAGAAAAACAATAGAGGATTGCATTTTTTTTATTTCAATGATTGTTTTTATTTTAATCTTATATATATAAGCATTCATCGAGTGTTACACTGTCAGTGATTACAGTTTTGAGTTTTTATTTATTTTTTTTTTCTTCTTCTTCTTCTTCTTCTTATACCTCCCCCCCCTCCTGTTTATCCCCACACATCCCTTCCTCCCGTATGCATATTTACATTGTCATGCACAATCACAGTATCAGTATTTTTCTTGAATGTTAAGCACTATAAAAATGAAGGGAAAGAAAAGGTGAAAATAAATTAAGCATTTTTTAAAGATATGACTGCTACTTGTTCACAGCTGCCCTTATATATTTACACATATGTATGCTGCGATCTCAAGGTACAGCTGTGACCTTATTGTTAAAAATATTGTTAAATGGAGAGTCGAGTCACTGTATTACACTGAATGATGTGTTTTAGAAACAATTTTATGTACATAAAGTAAAAACTGGAGTCCTTCTTTCATTCATTATATATATATCTGAAAGTGACAATGCTGATATTGAAATAAAAGAGAAAGCCATGTTTAGATAATTTTATAGATATTTTTTGTTCACTTTTGTTCACTTGAGTCCTTTTTTTTTCACAAGCTGTCTCTTGTATATTGGTTCATTTCCTATAATTTTAAACCTTTAGCTGCAGAAAATCATGGTCAAAAAGCAAATAGAGCCATGGAGAGAGAAAAAATATATAGAAGAGCTATGGAGGGATCATTTTCTCCCACGCTTTCCAAATTTTTTGTTTAGTGAATTCAGTATGTAAATATGAAGCATGATATTTAAATATGAAATGTTTACTAGCTGTGATAAAGCTCTTAAGAAAACACAAGGTATAATATTTTGTGTACCAGCTACCTGTAAATTATTAGGTTGAGAAATTACTTGACAAAAAATTACATGCTATGACATACCATATTCTATATGACCTTTGATGTCTAGCACATTTATTTTGCTCTGTGACCTTTAACCATTACCCATACCACATTTCAAAGTCCTCAAGAATCTTCAGGGGTCAGTTGGTTCTTGAGAAATTCTTTGTCAATGTAAGACAAATATCTAAAGAGTAAGGCCTTTGTGAAATCAAAATTCAAACTTGTATCATAAATTCTACCTGGGTGTTAGTGTGTCAGATTTTTAACTCATACTTACAGACATGTGTAAATCCACTATTAGTACTAATACTAGCATGTAGGGCAGTGAGTTAGAGTAAGGGTCTCAAAACTCACTCAACTTGGTCTGACCAAACATTTTAGATTAGACATAACCAGTCATGTGAGATAAAGAAACACATTTTACTCTTATTCTAAAATACAGAAAGGCCACTATATTCATTTTAAAAATTAATATAATGTAAAGGTTAATGGTCACAAAGCAAAATTAATCTAGACATCAATGGTCATATAGCGCTACAGAAAGCTGTAGTGCAAAGGGTAAAGAAGGGAAGAAGGTAAAGAAGTTGATGATTAAAAGTGCTACATGCCAAAAATCACATTGCAGTCTAGGATAGTATAGCATTGAAAGGAAGCAAAGAGGGGGGGAGGGTGAATAAATGGGCTATGGTAGGGACTAAGGGTAAAAGTTGACAAGGAAGAAGTGTGGGGTTTGTAAGGATGTATCTAGTGTATGGTAGGGATTAAAAAAAGGAGAAAGAGGGGTTTAAGGTTGATTAGATCAGTTTCAGGAGAAATGTCAGGGAGAGAATCCAGGGGGAAGCAGAAGGGATAATGGGGAAGGAAGGGGGAATGGGATGTGTTGGTAGGGAGTGGGAGGAAGGGTTGTAAGGGGAACATGAGTGAGAGGTTGGATGGATGTCGGCAGTTACTTTCAATCTCTATTCCCCCGGTAGGTACCAGTAGAGTAGAGATAGGAGCCTCTAGAATAGTGGTGGAAATTGGGGTGTCTGGATTTAGAATGGCAAAAGAATTTGTTGGAGAGGGAGGGGTAGAAGTGGGATAATGAAGATACTGTGGGACAGTATTGGAGTAGGGAGTAAGAGAAAAACCACGTCTTGTCTGGCCTCAGTTAAGTAAGGACGTCTGACAGAATTGTCGCCTCAGACTCAAACTTGAAGATAGGGCAGCTTTAAAATATGTTAATGACGCGTGTGTGATTCTGCAGACAGTTTGATCAGTCGTGGCCAGGTTGGGCCCACAGAAGGCATTGGGCTGTGGAATGCCAGTATTTGGCACAGTGGCCTAGACACCAACAGATCTGATATTGACGGAGGAGAGATTGAAATAGTCGGACAAGGAGGGACTCTCCACCATTATAAACATCAAAGGGGAGGTCACGTATACAGAAAGTAATCTTGGCAATATTGGTGGAGGACTCTACGGCGTCGTCTTGGGGGAATGGTGTAGCACTGTACTGATACAGCATCTTAACCTTGTATAGACAAGGCAATTTGTCGGGGAGATGGAGACGGTTCCGGTACATGTTTTGAGGGAAAATCAATCACATTTGGCTGGGCTAGGCAGAGTATTCAAAAGATTTGTAGAAGTGGGAGTAGTTGGAGCAGGTAGTACTGCGGCGGACAGTAAGGCTGCTGAGTAAAAATATGGGAGGGGGAAGTAGATGAAGTAGAGGATGTTAGGAGAAAAGGAATGTATTTTGGAGGTTGAGTAATGACCTGGGTGGATGATTGGGGCTGGACAGAGGTAACAGTAGTCATTGAGAAGAGGGTAGTACAAGCAGTGTTCAGAGTCGTGGCCAAAGGAGAGCCTGGGGCTGGAGAATCTGGAGAATTTAAATCTGTGGGGCTAGTTTATAAAGGGGCAAGCCTCACTGCCCCAAATGAGGGTAAAGGCTAGACAACCGTGCCCATGGCTTTCCCAGGCCGTTCACGACCGGCACAAAGTCAGCCTTTCATCCTTTCAATACGGCTCGCACACTTTTGGAAGTGATAGTAGAAGGGAGAAGAGAAGACCGTGCAAACTTAGTTGAGTCGTAGGCTGAGCCCTAATGCAAGGATGATCCCCAGCACTGGGCCCCAGTCTCCGTCTTATAAGCCCCCCTCCTGGCAACAACGGACAGGGGATTGGAGGCGTAATTGATACACTTGAAAGACAGAAATCGTACAAAACTGAAGCAGCAGTTGATGGGTAGACTTTTACCTAGCCCGTGGAAGAAGCCAACAGATAAATTGAGACAAACTTAGAATTTGGTGTATAAATAGGTTTTGTCTTTTTCAATCCATTGCGAAGTTCCTGGTGGGCCCCCTTCATTTTCCAGTGGTAGTTACAACAATATCGACGAATAAAATGCAGATACATTTTATAGTTAATTCAGTGTTGACACATAATACAATAAATTTAAATAACTTATAATACGAATACTGACTGCACCAAATAACCACACAGCACCCGAATTTTGTTAAGAAAAACCTCTTACGAACTGTTTATTCAGTCAGAATGAAAGATACAGATTACCTAATTCAGGTTATTTCCATTATTTAGACGCATGCATTTTACGGCAGTCCATCATTTCACCGCGGTCTCCCAAGTATTGAGCCACCGGGTCGACAGATTCACATTTATACATCGATATTATATATTCGCAGAATACTTGAGTTGTGCTCAAGACCACAGCAAGTCAAGGCACTATCAACTGACGCCGATCAATTTACTTTTTCAACACACTGCTTCTGTGATGTTTAATACCCTGTATC